TATAACATTTAAGAAGTGTCTACAAGGCCCCAGCTTCTGGGACATGTGTGTGAGGATTCTGGGGAATGTGGTGAGCCTCATCGGTCTTGGAATTCAAGGTAGCAGTCAGGACCCCATCCCACCAGTGAATGAACCTAAAGCTTCCCCCTCCCTTAAGAGAAAGGCTATGAGACAGCATATTCCACTCCAGGCATAAAGTGAAAAAACACTGATGTAACTACTTTATTTTCACTAAGGCTAATTCCCACAAATTTAGGGAGCACAGCCAAGAAAGCTACATGTCAGGAACTTTTTACCTGTTTTAAATGAAATATTCTCTAATGTAGCCTGGCTTGGGTTTCTACAAAAAAAAAAAAAAGGTGAGCGTGGGGAAGGTAGATTGCAAAAAAAGGAAAACTTTAGAACAAAGCATATGTCTACATCATAAAAACTGACTATAAAGTGTTTTAAAGTTCACAAAGTGTTCTGCGTGCTTTATTTCATTGGTGCTTCATAACAACACTATGAAATAAGTGCCGTGGTATTATTGTCCCTGTTTTACAGATTAGGAAACAGAAGCTCAATGAGATGAGATTAAGTCATTTACTCATGGACACATAACCAGTGTCAGGGGCAAAATCTGCATCTAGGACTTCTTGATTCCATGTTAACATAGCATCTGCTATACCATGCTGCTTTTCAGTTAGAAAATAAAGAAAATGGGTACAGAATTTGGGTCTCTTAAGGGCAATAACAACTGGAGTCCTCCACAATGATACTTACTTGACAAATAGAGACACCCCTTTTGCGTTGGCTGGAAGAATTTGGCCCAGAGCATCTATTCTAGAGAGCTCAAGAAAGCCAGGATTTCCACAGAGAATGAGAAATGGGCCAGGCAGGGGCACATTAACATCTCTGCAGGCAGGCAAAAGCAAATGGAAATTAAAGCTACAGTCTCTGATAACTAAATTAACTAAATGGAGGTTCATGCAAAACTCCCACCTAAGAACTGACCTGGTCATCAGGCCTGCCTCAATGATAGTAGACAGTGGAATAAAAATCCCAAAGAATACTTATTAAAGATAAGGGCACAGCTCTCCTTCCCTTGGCTTTCCTCTCTCACTGGAAGGACCACAGAATTTACCAGCTGCCCTCTGTACCCATGAGCAGTAGAGATTAAGGTGAACCATACATATATATACTATACAAAAATTGTTTGGATCAGCCCATCCTTGCTGCAGAATGTGCTGTCTCACCCCGAAGTAATCTCATGTCTCATTCAATTAACACAAGCTTCAACTCTCAGAATTTAACAAGATTAAAGGAGCTTTTCTGCCAAGTTCCCTGGTACATATTTCTTCCTCCTTAGACACGGAAAAGGTGAGGAACAATTGTTGACAGTCTATGCACATGTCAGTCTTCTTCCTTCAGGCTTAAATTGGATAGGATAACAGCAGAAATTACTTCTAATTTAATTCAGGGTGAGAAAGGGCCTACGAGAGAGGCAAGAAGGAAAAGGACAGGGAACCAAAAAAAAAAAAAGATCTTGAAGCCAGGAAGACCTGGGTCCAAGTCCTCACTCTGACTGATGCTGGCCATGTCACCCTGACCTAATCACTGAACCTGTCAATGCCATGGGTCTCTAGATCAGTGGGGTCAAAGTCAAATAGAAATGACCTCCATTAAACCACACATAAGGATACCTGTAGGTTGCATATTAACTTAGAAAACCACATATTAACACTATCTATGTTCATTTTATTTTTACCTATTTTGTTAAATATTTCCCAATTACATTTCAATATGGTTCAGCCTATTCAGGAATGTTGCAGGCCATATGTTTGACACTTCTGTTCAAGATGACTCCGTAAGTTTTAGAAAGGGTGCTGAGCTACCTTGGGAGAGAGAATTTCCTCACCTGGGAGTTCCCTGAATCAATTCTATTTACCAATATTTTCTCATTCAAGCTTCACAATTATTCTATGAAGTTGGGTGCTGTAGGTTTTATTAATCCCATTTAACAAAAATGGAAACTGAACCTCAGAGCAGTTAAATGACTTCTCTACTATCACATAGCTACTAAGCGTCAGAGGAAGGCTTTGAACTACAGACAGCTCAGACATTTGGACCTTCTATGTTTCAGTATCTCTTACAAAACCCAACACTGCCACTAAGAAATCAAGCTATTGGTTAGTTGGGCAAGACTATTTTTGCAAATGTTAATAATCTAACCCTTCAGAGGAAAATGGTCTTGAGAAGCATTGTCATGTGTGCACCAATGTGGGATTCCCCAGTGTCATGGAAAGTGCCAGAATCAGAGCATCTGAGCTTGAATACTGTCTCTGTTATTCTTTGTGTGACCTTAGCCAAGGCAGTGAACCTCCCCGAGCAAACCTCCCCAGAAACAAAAGGAGAGGGGTTTGGAATAGGTCAATCAGCTAACCAGCTGGCACCTATTAAGTGCTTGCTTTGTGCCCATCACTTTGAGCTACACCCAGCTCCCATCTAGCTTTAAACATTGTGGTCTTAAGCCATTCTATTCTCTCTATCAATAGAGTCCACAGGGACAAAATGAAGGTCACTGCCCCAAGAGAGGTACTTTTGAATCAACAGAGCTTTCCAGGATCTTCCTGCCATAGCAGTAGGAATATGGCTACGTGCTCCATAGATTTATTCTGCCACATCTGGATGATTTTTTGTGGGTATGGGGGGTCCAGACTTGGGATTTCACTGGTGTAGAGAAATGTTCCAGATGTGGAAACTCCCTTCACGGATGCAGAGAAACAACTCATCTCTAACTTAAAGCTTGGGGAGGGGGGCGGTGTCGAGGAGGATGAGAAGTTACACAACTTGCCCACAATCCCGCGGCTAGTATGTGTCAGAGGCAGGATTTGAAGCCAGATCGCCCCGACTCCAGAAGCCCTCCATCTGCTTGTCAAGGTGCCCCTCTTCTTTGTGATACACGAAGAACAAAATAAAAGCCGGAAGGCCAAAGACAGCTGAGGCAAAAATGAAGGACTTTCATTATTTCTCTTGCTGTAAAACAAATCATAAAACTGAGATTATGGGCTGTACAAACCAAAGAGTAAGCTAATTCTGAATGAAAATCCTCCAAGAACAAAAAAGATTTAAACTGAAAATTGGATGTCTGCCTTTCTCCAGGGAGAAAAAAAATGAATGCCATTATTCATATGTTAATGGTGACTAATCATTCTCTTTCTGGCTCTCTCTTCTCCCTCCCCCTCCTCCTCCCCCTCTTCTCTCTCTCTCTCTCTCTCTCTCTCTCTCTCTCTCTCTCTCTCTCTCTCTCTCTCTCTCTCTCTCTCTCTCTCTCTCTCTCTCTCTCTCTCTCCCCCTTTTTCTTGAGGCAGTACCTATCCTGCCTCTGAAGCTTCTTGCTTTTGTCTGCCTGCAAGAATGACTAGAATAACCAGCTTATAACTTGCTCTCTGTTCCTTTAATTTCACTAGAACAAGGGTTCTTAACCTAGGATCCTCGAACTTGGGTTTTTATCTATTTTAGTATTTTTATAAATATATTCCAGTATCACTGGTTCCCTTTATAATCTTATGCATTTTATTTTATGCTTTAAAAATGTTATTCTAGGGGGCAGCTAGGTGGAGCAGTGGATAGAGCACCAGCCCTGAAGTCAGGAGGACCTAAGTTCAAATACAGCCTCATACCAAACACTTGACCCTTACTAGCTGTGTGACCCTGGGCAAGTCACTTAACCCCAATTGTCTAAAAAAAAGAAAGTTATTCTGAGAAAACATCCATAGGCTTCACCAGGCTTACAGAGGTATCCATGACACACAGAAGGGTTAGATGGAATAGCAACTTAACAAATGGATAAACTTTTGAGAGAAAGAATAATAGAGTTCCATGTCAATGCCTGCAATTTCCTATTCCCTATTTAAAGTACTTCATAACTCTCAATTAAATAAATTGATGTACACATAGAAAAAAATGAAGTTTATGAGATGATGCCCCTTAATAAAATGAGGAAAAGGAAGTGACTGTAGGATATGTGTGTTGCAATGGGATTCCCCATAGCCTTACAATTCCCAGCCAAAATACCCAGGTCTCTTTTCACTGCCCTCCTTTCACCACCCTTGGAGCTCCCAGAATCCAGAGTCTCTACAGGAATATGACCACTCGGCTTCCTTTACCCCTTTCATTACCCTGCTCTCCAATAACAGCACACCAAAACTCTTAGGTATTTAAATGGGGTTTACTATATCATAGACTTGAAGATTAGTGTCATGCAAATAGTAGGGGCTTAATAAGTATATGTTGAACCAAACTGAATTTAGAGTTGGAAGGAATCTCAGAAATCATCTCATCCAATCCCCTCATTTTATGTATTTGAAAATTAAGACTCAAAGAGGGGAAATGAGTTGTCCCGGGTCACATAGGGAACATGGAGCAGAAAAAAAGATTCAAACCAAGATCTCTAATTCCAAACCCAACTTTCTGCTACATCCTAATTCACCAGCATGACAGACGAAAACACTAAAGCAAGGGGATGGGAAGAAAAGTACGGTAACTACCCACCTCTGACATCTGCTAGATGTGTGTGATCCTGGGCAAATCGTCATATTTTCTGAGCCTCCAGTGCTCATCTGTGAGAGAGAGATAGGGAGAGAAGGAGGGAGGGAGAGAGAGAGAGGAGAAGGAAGGGGGAGGGGGAGGGGGGGGGAGGGGGACAGACAGAGAGATAGAGAGACAAAGACAGAGATAGAGAGAAACAGAGACAGAGAGACAGAGAGAGGAGGGGAATTGAGCTACATAGCTTCTAAGATTCACACACACACCCCAATTCTAAATCTATAATGATATAATTAATGGAAGTGTTAATAGTTCAGTTTACCAATGTTCTTCGTCCTCTAGTATCTCTGAGAAAATCCTAGAATTATGAACATTACAACCACAACTCTAAAACCAGACTATCTCCACACTATGATCTGTTTGCTTTTAAGTCTTACCACTACAATGTTTTCACTGCTGATAAAAATCTACAGGAATACGCATGCTGGATCAACCATTTATGACGGATATTATTGAGGCCTCCTCCATCAGTCACATGCCTCAAGTGATAGACATATACAGTGCCAGCTGGGGCCCAACGGATAATGGAAAGACTGTGGATGGACCCAGAGAACTCACCCTCCAGGCAATGGCAGATGGTGTGAACAAGGTAAAATTCTTCTGAGCATGTCAGGCTATTCACTCTAACGCAGTCATCTTTATACATTCTATATAGCATTGGTTGTTGATTTTTTTAAGTCAAAGATAAAGCTCTTAGTTTTTAGTTAGGAGAGTAAAAATCATTCTAATCTGGGCAGGGAGGGAAGATTTTTACAAAGTGCTGAACATGTGTTAACAGCGCTCATCTATCACATCAGCATGGGTTCAATTTATTTTTTTAATTGGATTTGTCATTTCATCTGTGGAGGGAACTCCCAGTAAGGAAACTTGATCCACCAATGTAGATCAGTACCTATTTGTCTGTGCGGGGTTGAGGGGTTAAATGATTTAACCAGTCACACAACCAGTATTTGAAAGAAGTAGGACCTGAATTCAGTTCTTTCTAACTCTGAAGCCAAATCTCCATCCACTACGCAACAGCTTCCTCAGAAAAGTTTAAATCTACCCAAAGCCATTCCATGTGATAACCATTAAGAAAAAAAAGATGTTAATACTTCAATACTCTGATGGACCTATCAGTTCACTGTTGTGGCAATTTCCTCCAATAATGCAAATCACAACCCATCCATGCCTGCCTGTATGACTCTTGTCTGTGTCCTTCCACATGTCCACCACAGGGAGCCCCTCTATTCTGATACTTCATTTTGGCATGGAGGTAAGCCTAGGTTTTCAAAGGCTATACCCAAGGAGTGCAAGTTCTGGTAGGTCCTACCTTGATGAATATAGTATGGCTTGCATATAGTCTTGGGAATACACTATCAGTCACAGACTAGTGCCAGAGATTCCCAAACTAATTTGACCTACCATCCCCTTTTCAAAAAAAAAAAAAATACTCAGCACCAACCCATCCAGGAAACCTACTTTTTTTTAACCTTTTAACAGGTTGTGTTTTTTTAATTTGTGTCATTTCAAAAAATATAATTTTTTTAAATGGCACATCTTAAATTTAATAATTTATTGTAAATTTGTGGGTTTTTTCCTGCATTGAAATTTTGCTGATGCAATATTGTGCCTTGTCACCATATAGTATTGTATTGTAAACAAGTCATTATATGCACATATTCCCGCCGATGCATGCTGGACTTCCTGAAAACGGGAGACAAACTCGCCTGCCAACATTTATTTGGTTGTTAAGACCTGTTGCTGGACTTACCACTGATCAGTCATAACCTGCATTTCATATGTTTATTTGGAAAATTATGTAATTGCTATGACTTTAACTCTGATACACAACAGATGAAACATGTGTGAACAGTTTTTCAAAATTTTCTTGTCTTCTTTCCTTATGCTTCTACCACCCCCTTATTTTTATTCAATGCCCCCCAGTAGCACCCAAGGCTACTACCACCCTCCCTAAATCATTCCAGTCCCCCCCCAAGGGGTGGTATTGCCCACAACCTACCGACTAATCTCTTGATGACAAGTTCTTTGGCAATGGCAACCCATGAAAAAAATAGGACAAGGCAATGAATTATAAGATAATTCTATAAATAGGGACTATCTCTACCACCAACATCCTACTCTGATGCCTTATCATAATGTGAAAGGAGTCAAGTTTCCCCAACTATGTTTCCCCAAATTCATGGCCATAGAGCTCTAGTAAGTCCTCTTTAGCTAGAAAGCCTACTTATGGGTTGATGTCTATCTTCTGAGAACCAGTCTAGCTAAGTTCAGAGAGCCTCATCACCATGTTAACCAAAGAGTGATGTATCTTTCTGCCACAACAGCTCTCAAAGACCAGCTATTTGGTTGTAGAGGAGTTTCAATGTTCTATAAGGGAGGTAGTACCATCCTGACAAAATCATTGATCTTACAGTATTGAACTATGGGACACCTGGCAACCCACCTGTCACATGTACTCATTTTGGACATGCCTTATTTTCTTCCTATCAATCAATTAATCAACAAACATTTAAGTGCCTACTATGTGCTTTGTCACTGTCCAGCCAAAGATGCAAATGAATCAGGCTCTGCTTTCAGAGAGCTCATATTCTATCAGGATACAATGTGTACGACTCTAAGTAAATGCAAAATACATACAAAATAGATGCAAAAAAAAATTCAAACCCCATCTTTCTCCCTCTCCCTTCTTCTTTCTCCTTTCTTCCTTCCCTTATCCAAAATATAATGCAGGAGGCACAAAGTGCTGGCATTTCTCCTCTTGCTGCTGTTGGCAGGTTAGACTTTGACACATTGAATTGATGAGATGGGACACTTCTGAGGAGGGATACTGTTTCACCTTGAGCTTGTCTCTAGGAAAAATAACAAATCTATTGGAGTGCAGCGAGAGAGAGAGAGAGAGAGAGAGAGAGAGAGAGAGAGAGAGAGAGAGAGAGAGAAGGAGGAGGGAGAGAGGGGGGTGGAGAAAGAGGAGGAAGAGGAAGAAGGGAGAAAGGGAAGGAGAAAGAAAGGGAGAAAAAAAGGAAGAGGAAAGGGACAGAGAAGGAGGGGTGGAGAAAGAGAGAGAGGAAGAGGAAGAGGGAAGGAGGGAGGAAAGAGGAGAGAGACAGAGAGAGGCAGAGAGAGAGAGAGAGAGAGAGAGAGAGAGAGAGAGAGAGAGAGAGAGAGAGAGCGAGCGCATACCAGCATGACATACTGAGCTGTCTTTGGTGCTAAGACATCATTCCCCACTGGGACCAAGCCTAGGGGTACATATGAGGATTGTCTCTGCACATCTCATGTGTTCTTTTAAGTGTCACTTTATTAGCTGCCAAAATCCAAAGAGCCAAAAGAATCCAGAGGGAAGTTAGAAACTCTGGGACATTTGTGTGTCTATTTATGGAACTAAGAGTGAAGAATACAGAAGAAGAAAGTTAGAGGAAGGAATTATATGGAAAACTGGACCAAAAAAAGGATTAACCCTGAGCTAAATTTGTCATGTTAGTCACTATACATTTAATGTGAAATAAGTCACCTTACCTCTATGGGTTTCAATCTATGTATAGAATGAAGTGGCTGGATGATGGTACAGAGGGGAAACAATGCTGGAATTGGAATCAGATAGATTGAATCTTAGTTTGAGTACACTTACTACCTGTGTGACCTTGGACAGGTCTCTTAATTTTCATGGCTTTCAGTTTCCTCATCTGTAAAAAGAGAGAGTTGGACTAGATGACCTCTAAGGTCCATTCCAGGTCTAAAGATTCTATGGTTCTTTTAAAGGAAGTGAATGGATGGGGAGCCCTTCTGGGAAGAGTATCATTGCTTTCTCCATGATATAAAATAGACCAAGGAAAGCAAATTGGACAGGGGGTGGGAACAGACTTAGAAGAGGCAAAAGATGAGGAAAGTTAAGGTGTGGTACAATGATATTTTAAATGTTTTTAATTATTTTAATTTTGTGCTCGCTCTTTTTAGTTTATAGGATTGTAAGAGTATGTTGTCTTAGAATCCAATGTGTTTTTAAAAAATAGTTTGATTATAGTTACAGAGGCATTTTGACATAGTAGAAAAAGTGCTGAATATAGAGTGAGGGAGACCTGCCTTTTATACTTACTAGCTAAATAATTCTAGGCAGGTGACAACCTCTCTGTGCCTCTAGCAATCCCCTGGGACTCATATACTGTCTTGAATAAGTTATTATCTGCACTGGGGAGAGAATTCCCATACTAGGAATCACTAATACTAAAGAAATCATAAATCCTTCTTATATTAATATATGGTAAGAATTACTCTTAATTGAACAATACTAATATATCAATGAATGAATAAATTTAAAGCATTTATTAAGCACTTAACTATGTGCAAAGCATGTGTAAAACACTAAGAATAAGAATACAAAGTCAAAACAGTCTCTTCCCCCAAAAGACTTACTTTCTAATGGGGGAGAGAATATGTATATATAAAGGAATGTGCATAACATATGCAAAATGAATATAGTGGTCATGAGAGAAAGGGCAGTAGCAGCCAGGGAAACTTTATGCAGAAGTTGACAACTGAGCTGAGTTTTGAAGGAAACCAGGTATTCCAAGAGTTGGGGAGGGTGAGCATTCTAAGCATAAATGACACCCAATACAAAGGCATAAAGATGAGAGAGCTAGAATATCACGTGTAAGGATCAGCGAGTAAGTCAATACAGCTGGATTATGGAGTATGAAGAGGAGAATGACATGAAAGAAGACTAGAAATGTAAGAAGGGGACAGATTCTGAGGACTTCTATACATCAAACAGGGAAGTTTATATTTGATCCTAGAACCAATACAGAACTACTAGAGTTTGTTGCACAGGAAAGTAACATTGACCAGACCTGGGTTTCCAGATAATTACTTTGTAGAGAATGTGTTGGAGAAGGAAAAGGCATGTGTATATGTATGTGTGTGTGTGTGTGTGTGTGTGTGTATACATACACACAGATACATATATATATATGCACAGATATACACACATATGTAAATATATAGATACATACACAAGAGATTTTGTAGAGATAAAAGTAACAAGATTTAGCAACCAATTGGATTTGCATGGTAAGAATGAAGAGTTGAGGATGACACCCAGATTTTTAATTCAGGTGATTGGGAGGATGGTGATGCTTTTGCTAGTGATAGAAAATTATGAAAGAGGGGTGGGAATGGGGAAGAAGATAATGAGTTCTGTTTTAGACATGTTGATTTTAAGACACCTGTGCGACATCCAGATAGAAATGTCTAGTAAGCAACCACTAATGTGGGGCTGGTGCTCAGGAGAAAGACTAGAGCTGAATATATAGATCTGGAAATCATCTGCATAGTGATGATATTGAACCCAAGGGTGGCTGATGAGATCACATGAGAGAGTATAGAGCGAAAAGAGAAGAGGATCTAGTACAGATCCTCAATTTGTATAAACAAATTTGTGTAAACAAAATGTGAATGAGCTAATGCAAAACACTGTTCTCATCATTAATACGCCCTCCCACTTTGGTGGCTACTTTAATTGAGCATATTGGTCTATACCAACTAAGAACACCTGAACTATTGTTCTTCCTATAGTCATTAAATTGACTTCAA